CCCTATAACAAGCCATGAAAAACAATGGTTGACGACTTCATGCAATACGTTTATCTGAAGTCTAAATTGAAGTATAATGAAACAGATATCATTCTGAATGATACTTTACTAAAAACAATAGAGGTTTATTGCGCAAGAAAATATAGGAATTTTTGTTGAGCAATAAAAATTTACTGAGCTGGCTGGTTAATTTGCGAAGCTTTCATCAGCGTATACTTTAAATTGAAGTATGCGCTGAAGATGTCACCTAGTAGGGTGATGAAAGCTTCGCAAATTAACCAACCAGCTCAGAGAACACAACAACATCAAAATCATCCACCTGAGCTACAAATCTTCTCTATCATATCTAATAAAAATTTACTTATTGCATTGGATGCACTTATTTTTCTGCAAACTAAGCAGAAAAAAGGAATGAGAGTTCGGAATCAATAGTATGGGACCTCAAAAGTAAAAGTAATCTATTACAAGATATTTTAGACATTTTAAGACAATGAATTAGTGTGGGAATTTTCAAAGGCTATAAAAGGCTCTAATCTTCTACATGGTTTACTGTGAGGTATTCAGAAAAGCATCCAATGAATTGTTGGATGAATAAAAGTGATTTCCTGCTTTTCAAAACATAAAGTGAGTATGATATTGTTATTACAAATATGCAGAAGACTAATCTAACTTAATATCATCAAGGGAGAAGTTCATTTTATTCGTCAGAGAAGAAACACGAATGAATTTTTTAAAGCTTTTACTAATTTGAGGAGTTCCAAGAGACTGCCAAACGAATGTATGCAAACAATCCAATGGCTTTTAGAATACACGGAATATTTTGAATATGTCAAACAGAATGTATATATTTGACAGTATTTATCGTTGTGCTTTTTATCATATCGTAAAAAGAAATATAGATTCCTGTAAGAATTTCGGATACAGCACACTCTCTCAAACGGGTGACTTCTGCAGGACTTTGTATAAAACTACAGTTAGTTATTTTTATAAATTAACAGAACCATTTAGTTTTTGTACCCAAGTACGACAGAGGCGAGAATATTGACTATTTGAAAATTGGCTGCCTAGCGTGCATTAAAATTGTTTTAGTCAACTTAGAATGAAACAATATGAAATATGTATAACTTCCGTTTCAATAATTTCCCATTACGAATCAATATCGAATTGTGTAATCTACTGCTACGTTGAAAACTGCTTTTTTTTAGCAGTTACTCAAAAAGCAATGGCATAAAGGCTGGAAAAATATTTTTCCTCTGTTTTATTTTACTTTTTAAATAAGATTGACGCTATCAAGCTTGATTTCTTAAGCTTCATAGAAATTTCGTTCGCTCTTGTGTTTAAGATATTCGGGAGTGTCATAATAATTGTATTTTTTTTAATTACACCTTGATGCCACACCGTATCTTCAGTACAAGTATGGAATTTTCAGCATGCATATCGGTAGCCCAAATTTCGCAGGCCGACCATAGATATCGGGTGTGCGTCGGCGGGGGATCGAACCCCGGACCATGTGCATGGTCGGCGAGAGTCCTAACCACTGTACCACCGACGCACATTGAAAATAATTACATAAATATGTCGCTTTCATCAGCAATGTTCTATTGTTGTAAATGTGTCTTTCCCTGTTGTAATCAGAGATAGACTGTCTTGAAATCTATACAAATTTACTGTTTCAGTAATTGTGTTTAATATTTTCATGAAGTGCTTTCGATAAATTAATATGCCGATGATGAGAAATCTTCAGCTTGCTGTCAAAATGTTAAAATGGTTTTTGATGACTTCCTACAGATTGTTTTTTGCCGATGGTTTGTTGACGGATGTAACCCTTACACTGTTGGCACCAGTTTTGAATGTTCCATGAAGCCCATATTACAGCTGAAATCATGCCAATGTTGAGTCCATTTACTCGCATACAACAACTTTTTAAATTCTCTAGTGTTTACAACAAAGTAGCTGATGGTACATACTCATAAGTTAGTGATCTACAAATATCGTCACACCTCATTCAATTTCATTGAGTTGCTTCAAGCCTTCACAATAACATGATATTTCTTATGTTATTATTTGTCGAATTTTACTCAAAATATTCTGAACTGTTGCTCAAAAGGTATTTCTGAAATATTTGCACATATTTGAGGAAATTACTAAATACAAGTTGAATCATTTGGCACATAAATAAAACTTGAAATCATGTACTACGCTGATAACTAATGCCAGAAGGATACAGTCAGGATATGCATCTTTTCAATTTTTCGACGTGAATATCTAATCACTATGCTAAATTTTCGCTGGAGGAAGTAATCATTTATTTAACTTTGTCTTTCTTCACAAGAGAAATGCTGTTTATAAACGCTACAATCATGTGTGTGGAATTCAGACAGACGAATAATATGTCAAACAGCTCTCGTTCCATGAAGATAATATGCGTATTTTGCACTTAACACTTTCCGAAGCACTCCCACTGAAGGAACCATATTTCATACAAGACGAATCTTAACAAGAGTAAGCGTATATTTTAGGGCTTTTATAAGTTTTAATTATCAAAAAACTCATTTCGCTATAGCTACAGTGGACTAATTTCAGTTTTGCACGTGACTGAAACATTTAAAATGAGGATTTCAAGGAATGCAAAAAGATACAATGGCATGCTTAATTTGTGACTATCAAGTTATATTGAACAGTTAAACAAAATTTATTTATACACTTTAAATCTATGTATTCCGTAATATTTTTCTCCTGAACCGTTGTTGTTTTCTTATAACTGAGTGTAAATCATGATCACTGTAGTTTATGCCGACTTTTCAGCTCTCTTGAACTGTAGTCGAAATTTTGGCACTTTCACTATAACTTAAACCTATACATCCGATCCAGTTTAAGTTATACTTATTCAGAGATTATTTCTTGAGATTACGAACGTCACAACTGATTAAGCAACTGCTTACGTGATACACTAGGTCGTTTCCATTATTACTTAACTGAAAAATATAAAAATAATCTAATTATTATCAATTTGAATAAACTCTGCAGTAAACGTTTAGTCTCAACTGGTAATGTGATTAATGTGTGCTGTGGTTATTTATATTAAAACAAAGAAAAGAATTAACTGAATTATTGAAATATTTAGGGTCTTAAGATTTTAAAATATAGTCGAAGTAATTATTTTATCACCAAAATACTCACAACAGTAGCTCACACGCTGCTAAATATCTCTTGTCGACACATGGTATTTTTTGGTCAAGTCACCTAGTTTACCTACCAAAAAGGAAAACACTATCAGTTGGAATGTTGTCATATACTAACTAGATGAAACTGCTTTTCTCCTACAATTTTCGACTTCTGTGTCAGAAAATAAAGTCAAGTATGGCACACCAATATGTACCAACCAGTATATCACTATTATACTGTATGCTATGCGTCGGTGGCATAGCGGTTAGGACGCTCGCCGACCATCCACATGGTCCGGGGTTCGATCCCCGGCCGGAGCACTCCTTCACCTCGCTGAGCAAATATTGAAAAAAGCTGGTAAAGAGGAAAGGTTGGGCATGAGGCTAGCAACCCCATCCTGTAAAAATAAACACTGCTATAGAAACTTCAAGCCTCTACCTTGAAGCCCTATGTTCCACTGGGAACGTGAAGGAATAAAAAAAAATACTGCATGCTGAAAGACTACAATCTTTCAACTATTGTAGAATTCAAGAAGATTTATATAATTAAGAGATAAACTCTGAACTCATTGATAATGTGTTCATCTTCTAACCAATCAAATGATGTTTAAGCAATGGGAGAAAATAAACATCTGTCTCTCTATTAACCAAGTGCAAACAATGTCAGTGCACAGGATGACATTCTCATAATTGCCGACATTCTCTTACATCTAACCAAAACGTTTTACCTGTGTTTAATATATATATCAGTTAAATTATTAAGTGGAAATAATAACCTCAGGAGAATGGAAGTTTAGCATATGCTGTGAAGTAAATACAAAATTTTAATTTAAAAAGTCAGTTGCAGTAAGGAGAGAAAAAGTTAAATGCATAAACGCAATTTAAATATTTAATTAGTCCAAATTAAGGAATTATTAATCACGTAAAATTAATTAAAATTTTAATCGCGAGTGAAAACCTTAAAATAGTATAATTTCACATCAGATGATAGGAGTAAATCGCCAAAAAAAAGTCTTTTACCTTCTAAGATCTGCGCTTATTGGAACTTATCAGAAAAATTAACTCATATTACTTCTAATTGTTGAAACTGCATCAATTATTAACTAAGAGACTGTAACAACAGCTAATAGTTTATACATCTCTTTAATGAAAAGTTTCACTGACTGAGTAATTTACCAAATATATTGAAATACAACTAACTTTAGGAAAATAATGCTTGTCATTTTATTGACATCCTAAAGCGTGAAAGTGACTTAGTGCTTTACTAACACATCTCACGTGATCCTATACATTTCTATATGTAAGAGTTGTATTCAAGGTGTTGGTATACTAAATCCAATTCATTAAAAGTCGAATTTATATTGTTTTAAACATGCCATATATATCAAAATCCTGTTTAACATCAACATTTGTCTCCGTAAATAAAAATATCTAGTTGTATAAATTTGAAATGAATCTACGCTACATTTCTGCGTTATAAGTAATGAAAGGTATAATCAGCGAATTTAGATTATACCACGAATTCTTCGTAATAGACATAGAATATGTTAACGTGACATACTTTGAAAATGCTTGCATAGTTTGATGATAATAATTGACAATATAAGCTCTGGATGACAATCATTCTAGCTACAATTTACAATGAAGTGTATTAGAATTCATTATAATAAAGGTTTTTGTATTTTCTAATGAATGAAAAGCAAAACGATATTGTTTTTACTGCCGTTTCGCTATTTAATGCCAATAGCTTTATCAAAGTATTATTAAACCGGAATTTACAAAATCTCAGCATATATTAGAATTTAAACTGTCTTATAGTGTTATACCTTAACTTACATGAATTCCAGATTGCCAATTAAATAATCTCCATATCAAACATGGAAGGTTAAATAGGAATGCCTGTAACATTAAAATGAATGGAACCCATTGATAATAGTGTATTTTTCTATTTTCACGATCTGATATATTTTCTGGTACATTTATATCCTGAGTTGGTATGAAGTATGTGCTGGTTACCCAACATACTGACTCAGCGTATTCTTCTTGAGCACGAGTAAACTCTGTCGGTACCCAACAGGCTATTGGTTTGCCAATATACTGTCGAGCCGATATGATTAACGTGAAAATAATCAGTAATAATGAAGTAAATGTATGACTAAATCTATCGGAAAAATCATCATCCCGACGAAATTTCCCAGCATCCAATTTAAATTTTGTAAGTCCAGAAAAAAAGTGTGTATCCATAATAATAATAATGATAATGTTGCATCAAAGAGCTGGGCGGACTTTGTGGTCAGTAGATATGAGCCAATATACGATGATATCAATAAATGAATACAATTGTGAACAGTGAAAATCACTTCTCCGTAAAATAAATATTCAGGATAATATGATGTGAAAACTGCTCATCTTTTACATTTTATGTCTTCATGACAACACTTCTTTGTGTAGAGACAATGATAATTAACTGAATTTGACCTTTATACAGCTGGTAATGGCAATGCACTTTGTTAGTTACAACAAAATAAGATGTAGTATGGTGTCCGACACATTTGCGTATAACTGTCCCAAATCAATGGTATTACTATATCCTCAGTTAGATTTCATCACTTCTTTTGCTTTCAGATTATTCCATTTCTGCATACACATACTTATATATGTTTATACAAAAGGGGATGATAAATGATATGGTTTAATTGGTTAACGTTTGACTGGTTGTTTCTTATTGGTTCAATAGTCTTAGCCGCAAGTGATTTGCTAATTATATAGAAATTTATAAATAACCATTTTATAATTATTAGTTTCTCTTCTTAATTTTGGTGCATTTATTTTCTGCGTTTTGTTTTCTTGCTGCTGCTGCTGCTGCTGACAAAAAAGAGAGGGAAACACACAGCTACAAGATGATGAGCACAGAGTGCCGGTCACATGGAGTCAGAAATGACGGGAAAGGCTAGCTGGTGGAATTTAATAAAAACGAAAGGCCTATCAAACCAATAAACAAAATAAATGCAGGGTATTACATTCTGCACCATGGCAGCGTAATGTTTTAAAGAAGCATATTAATTTGTAAAAACTGAAATGTTTACTAATCTTCATATCACATCCCTGAAAGCCACATTTAGTAAAGTGGTTTACAGTTGCCGGATATCTGATATACATAAATAGATTACTCTTACTAATTACTGATTTCATGACGTTCTAGAAGGCACATAGCTTTCAAACCTCCCAAATGAAAAGACAGATGAAGTATTTTAATCCATAAATATAAATTTTAGAGAAGAAAGCGTATTTGTGATATGAGGGTCGATTCAACCCTTTCAAAAAGGATATAGTGCATGTTTTGAGAAACAGAAAGTGATATCCAATATTTAAGTATTTACCTACTGAGCTTTTTCTATTCTTTTGAGTTACAAGTGGGATGCTGAGCTCCAAACTTTTGATCTCTCAGTATCGAAGATACTGTGCATACTAAGTGAGGTTGCTAGCCTCACGCACAACCTTCCCCCTAGTTCGGGTTTGCTAATTGCTGGTAAACTAGGCTGTGTTTCTCAGTGCGTCGTCTGGGAGCTGAACCGAACCTGGTGCGTGGTCAGTGGCTGTTTTATCACTGAATCACTGATGCATTTAGTTCTTAGGGTAGACTATATGTAATTCAAATGAACTGTCGTCAAGATTTGACAGAATAGTTCTAAAATATTCGGGCGCCAAGTGAGAAGTAGACATGTGTAAAGAAATTATATTTGTAAAATCTCAGAGAGATTGAAATGAGTAATTCCAACGTTTCGTATAATAAACAAAATTTTATGAGCTGTGATCAAAATTTGACCCCGGACTTACAAATATTTGTCTACCTTTGTTAAACACTTTAGACAGAGTGTGTATGTGTGTGTGGGTAAACAGTTGTAAAACATTTCTTAACGTCTCCATAAGAAGATATGGACAGTCGAGAATTTTGACCAAGTATCAATAATTAGTGATACATATCCATTTTTTATTTATTAATAAGGATTTCCTATGCATCAACTAACATCACACCTTCATGTCTGTGCACACTGTTAGTATCTAGAATTTTATGATTAGACGTATTTTCAAAATTATGGTATGTAGGATTGGAGTTTAGTAGAAGCACCCTGTCGGACTTATTGCTTTGTCTTCTTTCTGAATATTGAGCTGCTTTATTCGACCTACTGGAGTTGTCAGGTGACTCGACAACTACGGATTTAGGATATGCATTCTGTTGCAGACAACGTAGAGTGAAAACACGAAGATTGTACCAGTTACACAGTTCCTTTGTTAATTTAATTCGATTGCAAAATAATTCAAATGAACTGTCGTCAAGATTCGACAGAATGGTTCTGAAATATTTGGTCGCCGAGTGAGAAGTAGACATTTGTCAAAAATTATATTTGTAAAGTCTCAGCGAGATTGAAATGAGTAATTACAACGTTTCGTTCGGCAATCTGGTCCGAACTTCTTATGGAGACGTTAAGAAATGTTTTACAACTGTTTACCCACACACACATACACACTCTGTCTAAAGTGTTTAACAAAGGTAGACAAATATTTGTAAGTCCGGGGTCAAATTTTGATCACAGCTCATAAAATTTTGTTTATTATACTTGTTGAATGACTTATGATTGGACAAAGTTTTTAAAAACATGTGATGTTCCTTTTATACATAAGACTTTGTTATGTCAATTTCGATTAATTTCCCTGAAGAAGTTCGGACCAGATTGCCGAACGAAACGTTGAAATTACTCATTTCAATCTCGCTGAGATTTTACAAATATAATTTTTTTTACAAATAAAATATATGTACTTCCTCCATTTTAAACAGTTCCATTCAGCTAAAGTTTATTCATCTCCTATCAACAAGTTGACTCTGTGACTGTTTTTCACCACCTTTATAATGAATTATAATGGTTACGTTTAGGTCAGCACCTATTGCCGACGATTACATGTCATAGAGACAGTGGAAAAGCCATAATGCCGAAACGCCTAATTTGAAGTTTAACGGTTAATTCATATTATTCAGTGTTGTGATTTATAACAGAAAACTGTCAAAAGCAATTTGAACAACGTATATCCAATGCTCACAATAATCTGTCGACTGTAAAAGCACTCAGTTTTAGCAAAGCTTTTCTTCGTTGAAGATGCCAAAAGCATATAGTACTTCACCAAGAGTTTTACTATAAAACGATTAGTTGCATCATTTCACTTCATTTTTAGTTAACTGAAGAATTTTCACTGAGTGTTGTTGATTGAGATTACTGACCAGACCTTTAAGTTTTGCTAAATATAGATACATCCACTGAAATACCTGAACATCTGCCATAATTTGCGATCACCTTGTACTATAATAACCACATACTTTTTAACACAGAAGATTTCGGGACTTAGATCTTCTCAAATACATTGGAAAAAGTTGAAAGAGATATTTACTTTTTTTGTTTATCCACTTTTCAACATAATACGGTTAAGAGGGGATATATCATGGGACACTTTTCAGCTTTGTTATCTGTCTTCATCATTGCAATAGTCTCAGAGCATTAACTTTCATTTTACAAACAGGAATTTAAGCATGAAATGAAAATATTTACCCATTTTCATTCCATGTTTTCTAAGTGGAACAAACTACAAGATTTGAACTATAAAATTTTAATAGCACTCGTGCTGTTTGTACCGGGGTTTCTAACCTCACTTGCAGTCTTCCTTCTTCACCAACCAGGCTTACTATCGGCTTTTCAGGCTTTAAGAATGCATCGATCATTAACCTGAAATGGACCTGTCGAGTGACTGGTGAACTACCAGTGCACATACGTATAACATTTTCGGTATTGCATGATTATGCAGTCGACTATTCGCTATCTAGTATTTCTCATTATATCGCTTTTCTTTCCAGTTACCATCTCATTTGCATCTTACTAGTTTCTTATTGGTTCCTCAATTCAAAATTGCTTAGTCTCAGTGGACTTTAGTTTCTGTTGTACATTCTTACCGGTCACACTAATTCCATCAACGCAGGTGACGAAGTCAAAAGTGTCCGGAAGACTATGTTTGCATAGATTTGATCTTACTGGCTCAAGGATTTCAGTGAGCAGTTTGAAAATCGTATGTCTCAGACACATGATCTGCTTCCGATCTCTAGTGTGGAACTAGAACAGTTTGAGTCTCTCATACTGCATTGCTACTATCAGTACTTAATAGCGCAATGCAAACAATTACAAATAATATCAAAAGAGCATAAAAGACAATTAAAAGAACTGTTAAATAACAGAGATATAGTTCTGAGACGTCCAGGTAAAGGTCGTAAGAATTATACTAACAAATGTTGCACCATTCTTCACGACGAAGAAGAAGTTTTTAAATCAACTGACTAGAAAGATGGAACGGAGGGCACTGAGAATGAATTCTTAGAAACCTTGAGGAAGTTGAAGGACGAAACTACTATTACTCCATATATGTATGAACATCTCAAGCCGTCTAGTTCAACCATCCCTTGTTTATATGGTCTTCCTAAGGTACATAAAGATGGTGTCCCTCTGTGACCTGTAGTGGATATGCTGAACTCCCCTTGTCTTTTGTACATTCGAGGAAAGCCTGTATCGAGTAAATTGTTCACTTAAAATTAGTTAACCTAAGTCTAGAAGCAATACATCCTATAATGTCTCGACTTAAACACTAATTGGTAATATTTGGAGCTGTCGTCAACCTTCAGAAAGCAATCAGCACTTTGTTAATTAATGTCAATATTCCGGTTATTTTATCACCTACTGAAGATAATCAAATCATTTTTCTTGTAATTCCCTCCCTTTAATAAATTCAGTTAGTGTTATTTAAAGGCGGAGATGATCTGAAAAACGGTATATAGCAACCATCCGTAGATCTAATCCGTACTAGCCCACTATGTGTACAAAAACTACTTATTGTTGACCTTAACCTATCATTGTAATCCTAATTTGATTATTTTATTTATTTATTTTATTTTTATTTTTTATTACAGCTTGATGCCACACTGTATTTTCAGTACAAGTATGGAATTTTCAGCATGGATATCGGTAGCCCAAATTTTGCAGGCCGACCATAGATATCGGGTGTGCATCGGCAGGGGATCGAACCCCGGACCATGTGCATGGTCGGCGAGAGTCCTAACCACTGTGCCACCGACGCACAAGGGTAGTATCAATTACTATCCTCCTTACTCCTAAATCCTTTATTATTTTGTTTATTTTAATTGAACTTTCACTTTTTTTTCACTTTTCATGTAAACTGAATTAACAAGTGTATGTGTTCGAAATGTACTAGGCGAGTACATTACACTTTCAGAAAAACTCTGTCTTTTAACAACTCTATCTAACTTTCTCTACATTGCCTGGAAATAGGAATGTCTTTTGACCACAGGTGAATTCATGCATTTATGCCACCTTGGAGAATAAAACATTTTGATTCCCTATTTTTAAAACTCGTAAGATGAATTATTTAGCGAACAGATTCCTTAAAACAGGCAGGTGTCTATTAAAGAACGCATTTTGTAACCATCATCTACTATTTACTTATTACAGTGAAGACACATGAGAACGCAAAGACTGTTCTGTGTACTTTAAATTTAAAATAAGTGAC